TATGGCTTTTTTCTCTGTATGGCAAAAAGATACTGAAACTCGAACCCCATTTTCCACACCCCATCCTGACCAGTTTGAATTATGCTGGGAGAGGGATCGGGATCGGGATCGGAATCGGGATCCTGGCCAGAACCGAAACAGAACCACTGGAGCAGCAGAAGAGTCTGAAGAAGCCAAAAGCAAACACCACAGATTAGTCGGCATATAACACGAACCGGTAAATGGCTAAGAAGCGAACTGAGGTGGAGGAATGGTGAAGGGTGAAGAAAAATGCCAGGAGAACAACAAATAGAAATCAAGGGAAATTCCTTGCCCAGGATAGCAAGCAAAGTTTTCTATTTTATTTTTCGGATTTTGCTCATCTATTTTTTTTTTTTTTTTTTTGGGTTCCCGGGCAAACTTGGAGCAGCTGCCACATGGAACATGAATCAACACAGAAAGTCCTCAAAAGTTCTCGGGGATGATTTAATTAGAATTCTCGAAGATGTCACCCAGGGCTATGCCCCCAGTTTCGTCTGGGTTTTGGCCTGGTCTAAGTCGGCAACGTTGGGCAACGTTTAATTATGAAATTTTCAAGGTGGCAAGTTGGTAAGTTGGCAAGGTGACAGAGCGACAGAGGGAAAGGCAAAAAGGGGCATTCGGATGCCCCATCTCGAGGTATTTTGTGGTAGATTAGCCGGGCGTTCAATGTGTTGATGCGAAGGCAAAGGCGTGGAATCCTGATTGGTGTCGGGTTTCGGGTGTCGGATGCTGGCAACGATGTGATAAGTTAATTGAAATTAAATTTTAATTTCATGGGATAAAGTTGCCTTCGATGAGATTGCTTTTTGCGGGTCAGGAGACCTCCCCCACGAAATCAATATGGAAATGAAAATTTGGAAGGGGGAGCCTTCAGCCAAAGACCAATCAAAAAGAAATCCCTTGCGTCTATTAGCAGAACCATTTCATTTCCCTTTTAATGGCCAACTTACATGTCAAGCAACCTCTAAGAAAACTCATTTATACATTATGTATACGCCATGTTGAACACACGAGATTCAATCTACGTCTCAGTGGAGTCCTTGAGGTCTGCTCGAAGATGTTAATTGGAGTCTTTCCTGCCACCCAGCAACACCTTGGCTTTTCCCAGGAAACCAAAACCAAACACTCTCGTACAATCGGAAATACGCCTCGGGGGTCCCAGAGTTCTACATCAGTTTTAATTATACAAATGCAAGTGCAAATGAATCCGTCCAAATTTTCCAGCTAAGTAAACAAAAGGAGTTCACAAATATTTCCCAGAAATCGATTCCCCAAATCATAACTACAAGTGAGCATAATCAGCACTGCCGGCGGGCAATAATTTTAATAACAATTGGCCATCCACTCGACTAAAATCCACCGGCTGTCGGTTGAATGGCCAACGGCCCCCGCAGACCTGGCCATTAACTATGCAAATAATGTGCGGGATATAGACAAAATCGCCACAAGATTAATGTTTATTGATTTTCCCGGGCAGTGATAATTTGTTACCACATCAAATTGCCGGCCACTGAGTGAATGCGATTTTTCTGGCTTACTTTTCTATTTCTGGGCAAAGCCATCCTAAGAATTTGATAAGCCCCTTTTGGAATTTTCGCCAACCCCTCCCCCTCCACAATCAAAGTTTTTGTGGGTATTTGCATTATTAAGTATTGGCACCGCTTCTCTCGCTTTTCAGATTTCTCTGTGGTTGGTTGTTGTTTTTTGGGAAGTGGAAAATGGGAAAGGAAAATGGGTGACGCGTCGGTCATCCATTGAGCCAAAGGTGTCAGATTGCTGGGAGTTGCTTATCAGACATCAAAGGACACCTTGCGGTGCCATCTTTCCCAGCTCGTTGCCATTGCAACACGGAGCCAAAAAATTCTCTGATGCTTTGAGAAGGGGGGAAAAGGGAAAATCCCTGTCAAGTTTTCCCGTCCCTGGGATTTTTGGCTCCAGCCTGGTAACTAACTTTCAGGTTTATATAAATATTTTCGTTGGCTTGCTTGTTTGTCTGGTTTCGTCTATTTAGCATTATGGAATATTAATTAAAACAAACTTTGGGGGAATGTGAGCATTATTAAAAACAAAGCTAAGGTGCGGTGCTTTCTTTGAAACTTTGTTTGCCTCGACGAATAAGTTTTCGCATTTTAAATGGTACAGGAAAAACATTGGCGTACTGTTTGTTTTGCAACATTTTTTGCATTCATCTGGCACTGTTAGATTTTTATATTTGTAGAAGTCTAAGGCAGTATGGGTTTTCCCCAATTAGGAAGCCAATTAAACGCTGAAACTTTGCAGATAATCAATTAAACAAAAATAGTTGTACATTTTTTAATATTTCTTTAAAGGCTTTAATTGATCAAATTAATGAAATTTAAAGCTTGTGGCATAAAAATGCTGTAAAAGATCATTCTATTTTAGGAATAGCCAGGTGCAGCAACAAAAATGAGATTTTGAAGACATTTACTGAGTGTAAATGAGCAAGAAACCTTTGTTGAGGCCCAAGTTTTTAGATCTAATGGAAGCGTAATCGAACAAAACTTAAAGAAAAAAAATGTTTTTTTAATATTGATGAATGCAAGAAAAGCAGGCTAACTGGGCGGTAGTCAGAAGAAAAGAAAATATATTAAGAAGGGTCCATAATACAGGTGTTTCCTAGAAGTCTCTTTGTTTGGCAAAGGGGGATCTCTTCAGTGGACGCCCTGGGGTCCTGGGACGGCAACATTACCTAGGTATGCTTATCAAAACTTCAAAGGACACTTGTCCCGCAGCAGCGGTGGTCTTTCAAGTAAACATTTTCGCAGCGCACTTATTTACTTCTATTATCTTCATTTCGCCAAAATTAGCTGAAAGTGAAAACGACACCGAAAAAGCAACAGAAACTGAAACTAAATGAATATCGAGCGGCAATCGGCAACAAAGCGAAGCAACAAAAGCCATCGCAAAACGCAAAACAGAGTAAACTCAATCCCAAAAACCCAGCCAGACCGAAGTCAACCTACTTTTGGACGCAACAGACTACGACAGAGTCGAGCAAATTTTCAATATGTCCCTGCACAAGGAGAAATACTTAGCCCTATTGTTTAAGTACAACTCAATATTCACTCAAACCTGCTCATTAAAAAGCATTTAAAACGCACTGTAGTATAATGGAAATTATTGAAATATTGTAAAACAATGAGATGAAGGTTTAAAATATCCTGTTGTAATTAGTAGCTCATAAAACCTGTGTTAACTAATAAAAACAAAAAAAAATAATAATAATAACTAATAATAACAAAATAAATAACTAAAAGATGTGATGCCGGTTATTACTCACCGCGCACTTAATAGCATTAACAATATTTTTGTCCGTGTATTTATTCATTCGGTATGCGCCCAGATGAGAAGCATGGAGTGGGTTTTTTTTTTGGAGGGAGACGGGGAGGACCGTGTGTATGGGGGACAATTGGGCGCCCTGCGGCGGATTATTGAATTTTCCAGCATTCTCTGCTGACACTTGGCGCCTAGTGCGCTACCGCTTACCTTTTTTTTGTTGTTGCTGCTGCTGCTGCTGTTGCTCCTGTCCCTATTGCTGCTGGTTTAGTCCCGCGTCCTGCGTTCCGCTTCTCCTTCTCCCCGAGTAGCTGCTGTTTACCAATTCACTGGAGTTGAAAAAAATTCTAATAGAATTTGGCATAATTTACATATCTCCGAATTGCTTAGGCCAAACAGGGCCAAATGCATTAAATACAGCACAATAGGTGCGTGTGTGTGTGTGTACCCGATTTTCCGTATATTTTTGCCGTAAATTTTTCTTTCAACCGATTTTGACTGCTTTCTGGCGAGACCCAATTTCTGTGCCGTTAAGCGAAAAATCAAAAACAGCGCGCGTGTCGTACCGCTTGATATATCCAGTGATTTTTGATGGGAGACCCACGCACTTGCAACACGCGACACACGAGAAGCACCGGGAATCGGGGGACTTTAGATGGTTTTAGAGTGGGTTTTGGGGTGGACCGAGGGAAAAAGCGACAGTGACAGCGACAGGCGACGGGCGACAGCAACTAAGATGAATGTCAATAAAAATGATTTGGCTCTCCACCGCAGTTGGTGTTTTTTTTGCTTGTAACTCCCCGGATTCCCTTTCCGTTTTTTCTCTCCGTTTTTTTCAGTCTGTCCCGAGTTGCTGTGATTTAATTGTAAATCGCAGACAAAGTCCTGAAGGAAGAAGCGCCGGAAAGTGGTTTTCTCGCCACGCGAAGAATCCGTACTGGAGATACAGATACGGGTTGCGAATTGCCAAGTCGTGTTTCGCTACAGTTCATCTCGCAGCAGGGCTGCTGCGCAAAATCCGCCAATCTGCGCCTGCGCCGCTCTCTTCACTTTCTCTCTCGGCTTTCTCGACTCTCACTCTGCTTTCTCCCATATAAATATGTCTGTGCGCCACGCTCGTTGGAATGCTATAAAAAAGGAAACGTTAGAATGAAATGAAAATGTAGCATAATTTATGACTGCATCGTCTTTTAAATAATTGCACGCACACACACCTACAAACCTACACTCTGCCCTGCGTTTTAAATATTTACATACACTCACCTGAAGACTCGCTACCCCAAAAACACCCCACCACCCCCTAATGGCCACGTAAATATTCCATTTTTTATTTTATACGACTTTTTAAACATTCTGCCAAATTGGTTAAAGGTCAATGATATTAGGGCTTTTTAAATAATGGAAACGGAATAAGATGTACGGTAAAATAAGGTGAACAAAATAAGAGATAATTGCTAAGCTTGTCTACCGAGAATTAATAAAATTTTGAATTTGAGTTTTATTGAATTTTTATGTTGAAATTTTAAGTTTAAATCAAACTGTTAATTATAACTCGCATACAAATGAAATGTTTTAACCTTAAAACGCAATGATAAGCACAAGCTTAATATAATAAAACCTTAGAATTTTTAAATTTAAATCTAATTAAATATTAGTCTAGAGAATCTCTTAAAACATTGAGCGATTTTTTAAATTTATTTTATTTAAGCTTATTTGTATAATATGATATTTTAACCCCTCTTCTTTGCTACTGCAAAAATGAGCTACTTATATTTGGCAAATTTAATTATGGATTTACCTCAACGTAAAGCCACTTGATCAGCAATTGTTCATTATTTTTGGCCACTTGTTAAAGCCTTTTGATAATTAATTGCTCATTATTGGCCTGTTCAGATTGGCTCGCCACTATTGCTTTTATGATAAAGGCCGGGCCAATTTGAAATCATTTCATATGTCCATAGAGAACTCGTCGTTGTTGGCATAAGCATTCGGAAAATGGAACTGGGTAACTAGGACGTTGTCATGCGGTACTACAGAATCGCAGTTAGAAAGAGAGAATTTATGTCCCCTGATCAGAGTTCGACGTTGTTCAGATTTGACCCCGAGGAAGTGGGCAGATCGACATCGCTGGGCGGCACAAAGGAACCCATGGTTAGCACACTTTCCTGCTTGGCGCACAGCTTGAGCATCTCGGTTTTGAGTTTGTCCAGAATGGCGTAGTTGGGCTGATTCACAGCCGCCTTGCTTTGCAGCACGGTAATCTCCTGCTCCTCTAGCTTCTTCTCTTTGAAGGTTTTTATTGAATTGTTGCCATACAGACGCAGCAAAGAACCCCAGGTCTGGATGTGTGGATGCAGGATCTAAAGTACAAAGGGTACTGTAAACATAGTTTTAGTAGATCTAATCATTTCCCACCTGAAGGATAGCCTGTGAGGCCAATTGTTTGCCTTCCCGCTTGTTTTTGCAAACCACTTTGGCTGTGTGTTTGCCCACGGTCATGGTAAACTCATTCTTGTTGTTTGCAGTGCGATTGATCTCCTGGTTGATCTGAACATCGCTGCCGTAGTTGCGCTGTAAACAAGTCAGCAGAATGGCGTTGGGAGAAGGTTCCGTCGTCTTATTGCAAAATTCGGTGACTCGTGGATCCTCAATGCGGATGTCATCGAAAACCTTCAAGGAGTTGCATTAAAATAGCTTTGTTATAAGATATTGGCTTAAGAAACCTTAAAGAACATTTGAAATAAACTTTTGATCGATAAAATAATGATAATAGAAAGTAAGTCTTAAAGAACTCAAGCTAAGACAACTAACTATCTTGCTTACAGACAGATCGCTTTGGGCCTTCTTAGCGGTGCCACTCTTTTGGTCCTTGTTATTGCCTGTGATTTTATCCTTGACATCCGGAATGAGTATTTCCAGAGTTTCACGTGCCGCCTCCGACTTGGCCTGCTTTTTGCTGGTGCCATAGCCCGTTCCGTACTTGAGATTATTCACCGACACGGTGGCAGAATAGGGAGTGGCGGCATTCTGCAGCTCCTTGAACTCATAAGTTGGCTGAGTTTTCAGAGCATGCTGCACATACTCGTGTAGGATGCAGACGAAGCTCTTGCCGTTGGGGTTCATGATCCACTCCTTTCGAGCGCGCGAAGTGGTTGATCCCTCGCCGGCAGCCGCCAAAATGGGGAATTTAATTAGTTTAGTGCCATCGGGCAGTGTGGGCCGTTGGATATTCTTGATGTGCTTGCGGTTTTTTGTGAACTTGCGACGGGCATTCCAGCTCCGAAAGCGCAGCACACGGATAACCTTAAATTTAAACAACTTTTGACAGTAGTTATTTAGTTGTTCTGGCGTTATGGATTCTTTCTGGGTATTCTCGTTAACCGTGACGATTTTGGCAGCTGGCATTAGAGCAGTTAGGTTTTCTGGCTGGGATTTGGGATCGGAACTACCTTCGTTATTCTCCTTTCCCTCCACATCCATGGGCTCTGCCGGTGGGGCTGTAGCACCGGTTATGGGACACACAGCTGCTGTAGCGGCTCCATCTGGTTTCTGCTGCTCCACTTCCGACTCCTCGTCCAAAGCTCGCCTGTAGTTAAGGCAAGGAACTGCTGCCAAGGGCACGGCATGCTTGCGGGCACTTCCCGTGCCGAGGAAATAAGGTCGGGAGGCACAACAGACGCGGGTTTTTCGGTGCAGGAAGAGCGGCATGCCACTGTTGTGGGTCACCTGTACCCAGCCCTCCGGCAGCACTTCAAAATGGTTCAGGCGCTTCTCTGCGAAAGGAAAGAGTTTGCCGTCTTGTATCCTTGGGTAAGTAGAGATCACTTACCTTCGAGCACAGTCTTGAAACGCTGCTCATATTTGGGCTGCTTGGATTCACGCAACTCGTCGGGCAGCTTCTCATCCAGCAGGTTCTCGATCTCCTCGTCATCAAACTCCGAGGAATCAAATTCATCGCCGTCGCCCTCCGCCGCCTCCTCCTCCTCGTCGCCTCCCTCTCCGTACCTTCCAACCTGCCGCTCGCTGGTGTCGTCTGGTTGCCATGTAAGGAGATACAGTAACTATTTAGATAAGCCGTCTGTTTGTCTGGGAAATGCGAAACCCGTCGTCACCCTACTTAGGTTCTTAGAGTGTACCTTGTAAGATTGGAGTTGGAATGACATCTAGAAAGTTCGATTTCCATACTAGTTATAGATTTTGTTTTATCCTGACTTAAGCTTTATTAGTTATAGAAAATGTAAAGAGTTAAGCAACTCAAACTTGTTTCTTAAGTTACAGAACATGTTCCTATTAATTGATTGATACTTATTTCTACACCGATTGTACCTGAACTAGCTGGACAAGCCAGTCGGATAATGGGTATCATGCGCATGGAGAAGCCCACAAAGATCTGCCAACACCTGCCTTTCAAGAATCTGAAGGTAAACTGAAGCTGGTGTTTCATGGTTTTCCTGACGGTTGCCTCTTTTATCAGCCTCCCATATTTACACAATGATAGGTCCCTAAGATCTCGAGATAACGCTTCTGTACAGGCAGAACATAATAAAATGTAAAAAAGCTCCATGTTATAAGACCTATATATTTTTTATTTCATTTAATCGAATTTTTTTAAAGAAAAAAATCGTTAAGCATTCCTTTCATTAAAATTTGGTAGCAAACAAAAACAAGAGGAAACGTAAAAAATAAAAAAAACCTTTTAAAACAACATTTTTCTTGAACTTAAATTCTTAGTATAGAAGTAACGGAAGTTTCGACATTAATATATACATATGTTAAAATTGTTGGTTAGTCGTAATGATTTTTCCTCAAAAAAAGTTTACATCGCAATGAACATGTAGTAGATGTAAAAATTATTTTATTGTAATTTCTTAGGTTCGATCCCTACTCACCTGACTCCTCATCCTCGTCGCTGCCAGAGCCAACTTCATCAAGAACTTGGAACTGACGGAGCTGCTGGTCCATGGGCTCGTTCTGGAGCTCGTTGTCCCGGGTCTGACGCATTTCCTCGATGGCGCTCAGCGAAAAGCCGGCAACCTTGAGCTCCTGCTCCTCGTCCTCCAGCCGTGGCCGCTTGCGATCCTGCCCAGAATCGGGATTCTCCGCCATTGTGTATGGCTAAGTCTAAATCGGGAGGGTATTAAAGTCGGACTGATCGGAACTATTGGATTGGTATCCAAGTGCCTAGAATACTGCTGTCTCGGGGCCAATCTTGCCAATAACCAATACTGAGAGCATCCAACGTCTTGCAATTGATTTCTCATTGGAAGTGCCACATTGGTTAAGCCAGAAGCCCCCGCCAAAAAAGTCTGAGACTCCGAGCACTTTCGCGATTTACAAACGTTGCTAATTTGCTGCGTCTTTCGCGATGGATTCTGCCTGGTGTGTTGGACAAAATGCCAAAGCAAAAGCTGCACAAATATACTATAAACTCATGTTATAAACTCTACTTATTTTAGCAATACCAAACAGACAGAAAAAACACCGCATGCAAAGTTTGCAAAAACATACGCCACATATAAGCACTTTTTCAGGTTGGATTTCAATGTACGGGTATATTTATCTTCCGGAGGAGTGCAGTTGGTCCTAAGATATATAATTATGCTGCTTTAGTTACTTTTTTACGTTTATTTGTTTTGAGAAAGATTTTCGCAATTTATGAACGCCTCTAAGTTGGTTACTATAAAATAAAGTGGCCAAGTTCAAGGTTGAGAAAAATACTAGATTTTGAGCAAATCTGAACATTTATTCATTTTCTTTTTTCGGTCACGTGGCAGCACTATCAAGGCAAAAGTGGCGGGAAATTCAAAATCTGTATGTAAACATTACTTTTCAACGAGCTTATTAAATTGAAAGATAAAAAATAAAGGTCAAAGTTGAACATGTATAAAAAAGAGTCAGAGCTTCAATAAATTATTCACATTACATTATTTAAATTGTGTTTTGTTGTTATGTGTGTTATGTTGTGTTATATTTTAATATATAAGAAGTCAGACTATCTCTGCAATTAATATTAGTTTAAGTTATTATTTACGTTTTTTATTGTGACCATAATCCGAAAAAAAGTTATTCAGATCAAAATCCAATTTGTCGGCAGAAAAGCTCTTATTATAATCTCAGTAATGTCGGTATTAAGGGATAAGAGATCATAAGATCCTGTTTTCCTTAAAATTTTCCATCTGCTCCATAAAATGGAAATCGTCAGAGGTTTCCTGATGGGCATTTACCTATTAATAAATGCAAGGCAACATATACGCATTTTCCAATAAGCCTATCGATCTACATTCATTTCATGATCGAAACTAAACCAAACTTAGCTACATTAACTTAATGTCCCCATGGGGAAATTAGAATTGATTAGTTAACGCTTTCTAGCACCGTGTTTAGGTCAAGTTCCAGAGGCTTGTCCGCATCCTCCTGAGCGCTCGAATTGTGGGCGTGGCCCTTGGAACGGAAGTGAACTAGCAGATGGGAGCGCCGGACAAAGGAGACTTTGCAAGACTCGCAGCTGAAAAAATAGCACAATATATTACTATTAACATATTTGAAATCCAAGTAAAACTGTGATTCTCACTGGAAGGCTCGAACTCCGGTGTGACTGAGCATATGTGTCCGGAGTTTGCCGCTCATTGCGAAGCTTTTATCACATTCGGTGCACTTGAACGGCTTGATATTCGTATGGCGACTGAAAATATCAGTGAAGATTAATTTAAGATTGTTACAAAAGTTGTAAAAGGCTATAATTATTTAACATTAAAAATGTAGTTAAAATTAAACTAGATTTTTAGATAATAAATTAAATGGATCTCTTAACAATTGTTTAAGTAAAAAACATAGTTCAAAATTAAGCTGTATTTCAGAAAAGCAATTAAATGGATCTCTTAAAGACGGAAATGCCCTATCACTATACAAGATAATTAATTGGGAACTTAACAATAGTTTTAATAAAAATACAGTTTTAAATTAAACCAGATTTTAAGATCATAAATGGAGTGGTTCTCTAAAGGAAGGAAGGTATATGTGCTATAAGACAGCCAAATCGAATAGATATCGTGGAATTGCATGCCAAATAGAACCGATTAATCGTAGCAATCTGCCAAGAATTAACAACCTTTAGAAGAATTAATAACCTTTAGAAACGAATCTAGCCCTTACATTCGCTCGTGCTGGGTGCGTCCGCTGGAGTTGTTGAAGGATGCGTCGCAGTAGCGGCACGGATATGGAGAAGTGCCCGTGTGCAGCTCCTGGTGGCGCCTTAGCAGGGTGGCCGTATAGAACCTTTGGGAACAATGGTCGCAGGCGAATTCCTTCACGCCCGTATGGCGCAGCAGGTGCAGTTTAAAGTTGCTGGGACAGGAGAAATGGCGACCGCATTGCTCGCAGATGCACTCCCTTTTGCGACGCTCCCTTTTGAGGGCCACAACCTCGTCCTCGGTGAGCTTGTCCCATTGGGTGCGCGGCATTTGGCGACTTGTGTCTGCAAACTTCACGGATGTGCCAGCAGTGAATGTGGTCTTGGTGGGCATTCTACGGAGCACTATCTGATCCTCGATCTTTTCCTGGGGCAGCCCCTCCTGGGACTGTTCCTTCTCCTCCAACGGAAGTTCCTCCAGAAGCTCCTCGTTTATAAGCTCGATTTCTGGGATTTCTTCCACAAACTTGAGATCTTCCCTTTGAACAAGAAGAACATTCACATTACTGGGGCTGTTTTGCAGCTGTTTCTGGGTGAGAATCACGCGCTCCCTGAAAGAAACCGCAACCCGCAGGTCCAGTTCACAGAATGCGCATATAAAGGCGGGTAGCTCGTCCTTTGATCCCTTCACTAACTATAAATAATCCACATTTTAGTTGGGAAAATGCTGGAGACCCGAAAAACAATCTACGGATATTAAAACCACACTCACAAACAATCCCGTTAGAACCTCGATCTGGTGCAGCGTTACAGAATCGGGCTCCTGAAAGAGATTCTTAGGCGTCGAACAGAAGATGAACTTGCCGCAGGTGCGGCAATTACGAGGCGTCATTATAAAACTTAATTGTCTGCAATTTCGTTTTTTACATGTTAGTGGACACTCGGCGTTGCCAGATGTGTTCAGATTACATGGCAACGCCACCAGCTGCATGGTCTGAATTAGGGCTATTCCCGAAAACAGAATTAGTTCTGTTTCATACCAAATATTAAGTATTTATTAGTTTTTAAAATCTCAATCTGTTTTAAGAATAAACAGCATGGCTTAAAACTTAAATAGTTTTGTTTTTAGTAAAAAAATCTATGTATTTCTTTTAAATCATTATTTGTATTTCTCATTACAGGTTAGGCAAATTTAAATTTCAAGACTTCTTTAAACTTAATTTTAAAATAATACATTTTTGGGGATATGAATTATAATTTGGATATTCCCGATATGACTGAATCTTTGAATTGCTGAAAATTCAGCAGAACTGCTGAAGTTTTAGTATGGAGTATTGGATTGATCGACGAGTATACGACAAGATTATTAACAATTGCTTCACCAATTTTACCAGCTAAAATTTTGTAAGTTTCATTTTTTGTTTTTAACTAAATTTTTCCTGACCCATTTAGTATATAAAGATAAATAATAAGGATTGCTCGAACTATCAAAGCAGATTTTCCTTTCTGCGGAAACCGCACTTCCCGTGCGATTCGTCACTATGTAGATTGCCTACCATAGAGGTGAATGATTCAGTTTCAGGAATCCCCCTAATTCAAACTGGGCGAAATAAAAAAAAACCGAAACAGCCCCATTTAATGTAAACAAAAATCACCACAAGTAAATACAGGATGCACTTAAACGAGCAGATTAAAATACTGGGTCGCAGGATCATACTGGTGCCCTACGAATCCCGCCACGTTGAAAAATACCACAAATGGATGAGCAACGATACTTTGAGGCAGTTGACCGCTTCAGAGGAATTGACTTTGGACGAGGAATACGAAATGCAGAAAAGTTGGCGCGAGGACAGCGACAAACTTACTTTTATAATACTGGATGCTGACATCTATGCCCGTGATCATGACGAAATATTAGCCATGGTGGGTGATACGAATCTCTTCCTTCGCCCAGATCCGGATCTAAATGATCGCCAGGTGGCGGAGGCGGAGATTATGATTGCCGAACCGGATGCGAGGGGTAAGGGATTCGGACGGGAAGCCATGCTCATCATGCTGAAATACGCACAATCCCAATCACAGCTGAAACTGGACAAATTCGAAGTCAAGATCGACATGGACAACACCATTTCCATGCATTTATTCGAAACTTTTAAATTTGTGGAAACGAGTAGGGTAGAAGTTTTTCACGAGGTCACTTTGGAACGCCAAATTACCCCAGATTGGATCAGCTGGCTGGACCAACAGGTTCAACTACAAATCGAAAGCTACTAGGGTTACAATATGCATTTAAATATATAACCAAACTATTTTTAACTATAAATTGTTGTTTTATGTAAAGCATTCGCCTTGGTTTTAATGGAATGTCCTACACTTAAACTCGTAATACCTTTGCTTTTCTTTAGAGAATCTCAACCCAACTAATATAGAAAAAATGATCAAATACCAGAATTCTAACAAGAATCTTAACGACATTTTTAAGCTCTTATACGTATAAAATCCATAAACTTTTAGTTCCCCTGCTTCTAAAGATCATAAAAATAAGATAGGCTTGGGAAATTAGCAATTTCAGAAACATATATTTCGGGACCCCTATAAATTGAACTCCTGGTGAATTTTTTTTATCCAATCAAAATCGTATAATTTCAGATGATACATTTTCATCATTGATCAGAAATAAGTTATTTGAAGTCATCACTCAAAAATCACTAGTAAAAAATAATTTGTTCTGCATAAGAATTTTCAAATTATTATGACTAAGAATCCCAAATGCAATAAACCATTTCAGAATCTTTAGATTTAGCTCTGTTTATTACACTTATGATACAACTACTTGTTTCGCTTGCCTTACTTATGTTGCATTTTACATCATATGTATGTATTTATGGGTGCATCGATGTTTCTTTTGTTTCGCCTTGTGGCTTGGATGATTGTAATGCTGTGTGTATGCGTCTTGTCGTGATTTGCGTGGCAGGAAACGGGCAACTAACACTTGCCGCTTGTCAATTATTTCCGGAGTGTGGCGTGTGGGTATATCTAAATATAGTACATAAAACTAGATGCTTAGTGCTTTACAGCTGCATACTTAAGACTGCTAACTTGTTTCAATTTTTTATAAAAATCATTATTGAATAATCAAAGGCAAACATAATCGTAATCAGAATTGCAAATGAAAAACCAAAAATCCGAAATCCGCAAATAGCTGCCGCTCTGAGTCCTTAACGTAAATGTGGGCCGATACGATAATAAATACGAATTAGGCAGAGGCTCGTGGTCCATCGATGGGCATGGCGTGGAGCACCTCGTCCAGCAACTGGAGGGCTCGATGCAGATGCACCTCAATCCAGCAGGGCGTCTCCTTGATCGACTGGCGCGGATAGTCAGGTCCCCAGCCCTTGACGAAGCTGAGTCGCAGGATGCACAATCGGCGCAGATCATCTACGCCAATTCCAGCTGCTGCAGTCATGCCTGAAAAACCGAGGTTCAAGTGATTAGTTGGCTTTGGAATGAACCGATAGTACGGAAAACTTACTCCTCCCGCCTCCTCCCATCTGCTGATTGGCCACTCCGGCCACGGCTGCCGCCTGAGCTGCTGCTGCTGCCTGAGCATTCGTGGCCAGCGAGTGCATTTGTTGGTGGCACTGGCGCAGGTCGAACACCTGTCGCAAAAACACAATTATTATTCACATAGGGGATTCCTTATACAAAGCCCACCTTGATGCACGCCGCCGGGTAAATCTTGTGCACTGCATCGCCAGGTGTGCGTCCCGCCTCGCGATCCAGGTAATAGCTTTGTACGAACACAGAGTTGTCGCTGAGGCAGCGGAGCCACACGTCGCCCTCGCCACGCAGATCCAATTGTACGCCCTTGCCGATGTGCAGCCTGCACAAAGTGCTCCAATTAGTCCTCCAGTTAATCTCAACCATAGTTAGCCACTCACCTGGCACGTTCCGATTGCTCGGTGCGATGAACATTGCTGAGTGCGCCCAGGCAGAATCGATTGCCTCCCGAGGGATCCACATAGCCATCGATAATGACATTCGGTTTGGCCGACGGCACCTTAAAGGTCTCGCCCACCTGTGTGTCCAGCTCGAAGTAGGCTATGGAGCACCAGTATTCCGGAGGCGGCTGGCGCGACAGGAGGCGTGGCTGTTGCTGCTGTTGTTGTTGTTGCTGTGGAGGCGTCTGTTGCGGCGAGCCAAGGTCACCTGGCAGCGTTGAGTTCCCTGGAATCCATCCAATTTAGAATCCAAACAGTTATATATGTGTATAAAATGTACTTACAGAATCCACCTGGTAGAGAACGAGGATCGGGGGGCTGCATGGACTGTGTGTAGGTCAGGGTGTTGGGTCCTGTCCAAGTGCCCGCCGATCCACCCCCTCCGCCGGCCTGACTACCAGTAGACCCAGCACTGGCCTGTACTCCAGTCTGATTCTGCTGTTGCTGCTGCGGGGTGGGCTGCGCCGCTCCAAAGACACCGCCTCCTCCAACGGAGGCTGTGCCTGCGGATACCGCCTGCGACACATAGCCATTTTGCTGGGCATGGACGGGTGGAGGATTTGGTACACCTGCACCGGTACCTTGCATCTGACTTCCTGGTTGCGGCTGGCCGTAGTACTGACCTCCAGTGGGGGCCCCACCGCTGGCATTGACCGCCCCATTGGGTACTCCGCCCGTCTGCTGTTGCTGTTGTTGCTGCTGTTGTTGCTGCTGCATGGCCATAGCGGAGGCGGGATCAGTGGGCGAATTGGCCTGGGCATGGTGCACCCCATTGCCCTGAGGATTCTGAGCCTGTTGCGGAGGAGGTGGAGGAGCCATCACTGGACCGGGATTCATGGGGCCAGACATGCTCGACATTCCATGAGGTACAGCTGAAACAAATTTAAGGAAACAATTGTTAAATAAATAAAGTGAAATTAGTCGTTTTCCACCAGATCAATTAATGCAGTTGGTCCCACTTATATGAAGGTGTATAAAAATGATCGGAAAGTACGATTTTTACCACATTGTGGGGAATTTCAATTATTCTCAAATAAGTCTCCTTACAAATTTTAATACAGAAAAAATTTGAATTAATTGTAATTAAGAAATAATCAATGAATTTGTTCCCAGAAAGGGGGGTTTTTTGTGAAAATTAAGTTAACTCATATAATAATCCTTACAAAGCGGATGAGCAGCTGCCTGCGATTGGGGCTGCTGCTGCTGAGGGGGCTGCGGGGGTTGTTGTTGCTGCGGCTGCTGCTGTTGTTGTTGTTGTTGCTGAGGGGGCTGACCAAGCCGCGGGGGAGGTGGCACCATCCAGGAGCTACGCGACCCAGCAACACCATCCTGCGGCTCGATTTTTGGTATTGTGCGCCCGCTAGGAAACATTGCACTCATGGGATTGGCATCGTTAACTACCCAAAGTCAACAGAAAACGACCAAAAAGAAACAAAGGTAAACAAATATATTGAAAAAGGAAAATTAATGAAAGCAAGAAATCATAAAATAATTATTATAAATGCTGCAATAACTTCCCATAACTTTGTGTTCGAAATTGAATTATTAAAATATAAACCGACATAACAAGATTAATGAAAGAATAGAAAATATTAGAATAAGATTTCTCCACCAATCTACTTAAAGCTTTTCATTCCCTATTAAAAAATTCCCAAACAAAGTCAGTAAGGAACGGTAGCCCTACCATATTCAGCGGGTCCCTGTGGATATCCGTAGCCGCCGGGACCCACCATTTGCGTGGGGTGGTGTTGTATGGTGCCGATATCGTTGCCATCTATGTCCATGCCGCCCACCAGCGGACCCGCCGAGTATTCGTCCTTTACCAGGCGACTGGGGCCCGACTGCAGGCTCAAGCCGGAAAGGTCGATGCCCGGGGAGACGACGCGCTCGTAGTGGTAGGGATTCACGCATACCGAGTCGCACTTGAGATCGAAGGCGAAGGCGCAGTACTTGACGTGCTTGAGCTCGTTTTTGTGCAGGTCCGGCCAGCGCCAAATCCGGGCATATATCACGTGCGGAAAGCCCTTGCGACCGGCGACCTGGAGTGTAAAATGGAGAAGGCATTAGTTTTTTGATTATATTATTCAGTAGTTGCAATTAAAATTGGCTTTCCAAAAAGACTATTTGAGCCTCCTCATAGTTCATTAAAATTAAAAGATTGATTCACCCAACTTCCCGCCATAAGTTACCTAGTATCGTTATCAGAAAACCGGGAAATCGGGGACAAACAACCCGGACACTCATCTCCGATAAGAAGAGTACCTACTATCAGGTAGTCGAGTCACTTATCCACTTTTTTTTTTTAAATCCATCTCACCTGCAGTCGACCGTCGAGGGTGCGCTGGATCGTCACGCACTTGCTGGGATGGGCTCCATTTGTGGTGATGGCCGTGATCAGGGAGTCCAGTTCGTCGCGCTTCTCCTTGAGCTTCTTTACCAGCGACTCGATGGCCCGCTTGGCGAATCCCTCGCTCTCTCCGCCCTGTCGGTGGCACATTAGCGAGTGAACGATGCTCAGGCAGGCGTCCGCCGATGTGGGGGCGTTTGAGGGAGGTGGTGGCGGCATCTGCACCATGTCCCGGACAATTACTGCGGATGAGGGAGTAATTAGTATTATTTATTAAGGTATTCGATTGATGCTCGGAATAACTTTGATAACAGCTATGTTTATATATTTGAAAGTTTAACATTTTTATTAAAAAAAAGTTAATTGTTTTTTAACAATGACACATTTGTAGAGTTTCTATAACGTGATTCTTAGGTGATTCTTATCATTTACACAATTTTTTTCACATTTTGCCAAAATGAAATTATAAACATTAGCGGTGTTGCACTAGTGTGGTACCTACTGTAAAATAAAGTGACTGTATGGTGCACACATGAGGGTTAATAGAGATCGGCAACTTACTGTCCTGCGGGGCTACGGCGCCGTACATGTGGGCGGGCGGACCCGCCCCTGGGCCGCCGCCCATTCCAAATTCCTGGGCGAGGCCCAGAGAACGTGCATGGGCATCCACGGCGGCGTTGTTGCTGGATCCGGATTCGGCGGATATGGATACAGATGAGAGTGCCAGTGGGAGTGGGGGGCGTAATCGTAATCAAAGCCGGCGGAGTTAAGCACGCGACGAAAGGGGGGAAGAGAAAACCAAACAAAGACGGCACGCGAATGTGAGCACAAAACAAACGGCGGTTGGCTGACTATGTGTGCGTGGGCTTGGGGGGTGTTGCACACACACACCACACTAACACCAACGCTTAAAGACTTGAACTCCCACAAAGTTGGCGTAATTTCCTTGCGAAAAACTCTGCTCTTCTCAGTCTT